TTCTAGAAGGTGTTGTAGGTCTTCATAGAAGCGGTCAACTTCAGCTTCTTCAGCATCAGAGGATGGGGCATAGAATTGGATGAATGTGATATTGAATGGTTTGCCTTGGATACGCACTGAGATCATTCTGTCATTTTTGAGGTTGTACCCCACTACTGCCTGTCCCACTCTCTTATTCACTATGAGTGCAACTCCATTTCTTCTAAGGGTTTCTTGGCCACAGTAGTAGATATAATGGTCACCTGAATTAAATTCACCCATTCCCGTCCATTTCAATTCTTTTCTGAATTCTTTTCTGAAGGATGATGCAAAATAACCCTGCTTACAGTTGTCCAGACATTTTCAGACAGCATTGAGCTACATCATTTCTATTATCTAAGAAAGGTATGAGGACATATTTGTGACTCACAAGCATTTGGGACAGTAAAGATAATGCTGAAAGCTGCCACATGTTAGCTTCCCATTTTTAATCTTTTTGTTGGAAAAGTACAAAATTAAGCGGGACAGGGAATCTGGCAGACATTCTTTGTGGAAGCCACACAAGTACTTGAATTGCATGCACTTAATGTGGTGTAAGCCTTGTTGAAAATGAGACTTACTTCCAAATACCCATCTTTGGGTGTTGATATTAGGACTTATCTTTCCACTTAAAATAAGCATGAATTAAATATAAGATTTGCAGTCTTAACATTTATTAGTTTTGCTTTCTTTTTTTTTTCTTTTCTTTCAAACTTGACATTGTTCTTGGCTCAGAAAAGGGTACCTGTATATTGGCATTAAAAGCAAATGGAAAATACCTCTGCAGAGAAAGGATGTGGTTTATCTTTGCAAGCAGAGAAGTTATATTGTGTTTTTAAATAGATAAACTAGATCTGCTCAAGTCTGTTCACTCTAAACATTTTTTTATTTCATATAAAGTTTTGTTTTTAATCAGACCAGTATATTTTCACTAGTAATGTGGCTTCTGGCAATATCCATGAGTTCTTTTTTCTACCTGATTTAAACCAGGGATGAATATAACTCAGGCTTTATTGTTGTGTGACTTTTATTAGAATTCCAAGGATTGCCAGTGAGAACCAGGTGAAGAAGAAAGAGTGTGGGTGGAACTAGTTATCTACTGTAGCTTATGAACAAAAGAACAATTCTTCAGTTCCTTGGAGCTAAGCTATGATTTCTTTTTTCCCCATAATTATTGAATTCTATTTTTATTCTTTTTATTAATTGTATATCACCCAGAGTCATTTTGGAATCAGGCAGTGCCTAAATTAAATAAATAATAATATATTATGATTATTCATGATTTGTGGAATAAGCAACAGTGACTGGCTGGATTAAGCCATACCTTGTGGTTTACAAACCACATTGGACTGATTCATGCATTGCATGAAATATGAATCCAATCTGTACTGGAATTATCAGGAGTTCTTATGCAAAACTTTAAAAAATGGACTTCAAAGATGACCAGTTGATCTTTGTGTTTATAATGGAATGAGGCTGAGAGGAACAATTATCAGAAGATTAGACATAGCAAAGATTGTGGAGTCCTTGGGGTTCTCTTTATCCTAAACTGCAATTCATTAGTCATGCTTGCTTTAGGGGAAGCCCTCACAATCCTTGGACCATTCACAGATGTTGGGAAGCTTTGTTGATGGTTGTTGGCCCAAAGGAAAAATCATTCAGCAGCTGTCTGAGCCAAGGTTTGGTAATGTTTATGTCTGGTAGATTTGCATAGCTTTTTTTTTTTTTAATGTTGTCCCATTCTTAAGTTTTCTGCTTTGTGTGTACAAGTAAAATGGAAGAGAAAATAATGTGAGCTGATCAGAGGAGAAGAATGAGCCCACAGTATCTGTGAGCTAGAGGATGCTGAGAGCACATGCTCCCCATATCAATAGCAAGAAATAGAATTGTTAAATGAAACAATTTGGTCTAGGTTATAATAAAGTAAAACACCAAATAAATCACTGGATAGAATCCAGGTCCCTGATTCTCAGGAGATTTAATCTTGCAGGCATTGTTCAAAGCAGTAAGTAGCCAAACAAATTGGTGACAAAAAATGAGCAGCATCCAGAGATTTGAAAACAGCCCCAATATGTGAGTCTCCTTTCTGTACATAATTATTGTATTTCAAAGTACTGTATATAGTAATATTCTGTGTTTGGGGATTCAGGCTTGGTGTGAGGTTCTATATGCTGACTGAGAATTACAGAAGCCAGCATGTGGGAAAAATGCGTTCTTTATAGTGTTGTTTGTCAATCTGTTCCCTCGTCTTTCCCACTTTTTCTTCAACTCTTAGGTGATATGTAAGTAGCTGGAGCTAAATGCATCACTTTGGTATCACACTTCAGGAAAACAAAATTGGGAAGAATGGGACAGTGGAGGAACATGTCATGTATTGGAAGTGTAAATCAGATGCTTGCCAAGCTATCGTTTCCATACATTCCTTTCTCAGCCCAATCTGGCTTCCTTAAGACAAATATAATGAGCTAGTCTAATAAACCTTCTCCCCGCTCCAAAAAAACCCCAGTAGAATCTTCGCCAGAAAGATATTTTGTGGAGCTGACAGCCTGCGTTGTAACAGTAGCTGTAGTTTCCATCTTTATTATGTAACTATTGGTGCTAGATGTCTTGTTTGATTTTCCTTTGACATGCGTTCCATAGGAGATTTGCATATTATCACCTTCCGGTTAGAAGAACACAGTGACATTTTAAAGTAACCAAGCACATCATTTTGTTTGAATTTGCCTTTATTCACATGGAATCCACAGGTTTTTCAAAATGTTTCCTGTTCCTCCTAGTGGTGCATAAAAATACTAGGACAGCTCTTCTCAGACTGTGGGTCCTGAGAGTTGCTGAGGTCTTTGAGCCTCTTTGCTCTCTGTTCTTGCTTGTTTTCAGTCAGATATTGGAAGAGAAGTAAATGACCTAAATATTACCAAAATGATTTTCAGCTGTTAAATGGACTTCTGGGGAAGAGAAAGATACATTGCTCTTATTGTGAAGGTCCTTTTTCTACAGAGGAGATGAATGAGGGTTGAAGTGAGGTATCTCCCTCTCTCCATTTCCAGCCTTCACTCTGGAGCTAGAAGGGAATCTGATGTCAGTGCTTGTTGAAGGAAATAATTATCTTCCTGAGTTTAAGAATGACAAGCCAGAAAGGGAGCTCAAAGAAATAAAACTTTGGAAAATAGGGGTAAAGGGGATAAATGTCAGACTGTGCAAACACTGATGGGCAATTCTCCTTTTTTGATATTGGCCAGGTGGGCTGGATGCCTTGTCCTTGTTATAGTGAAAGGACCTTCAGGGTAAGTCCAACATACCACTTTCCTATAGGGGAGCCAGAACATTCTGAAATGGTACATACCAAAGCTGTTTCTGGGGGTGAGATTCCTTCTCCAGGGGAGCAGTAGCGTTGAGGGTGGACATGGTGGATGTGTTTCTAGAGGAGCAGGCTAGTTCTCTGTGGAGAAGGGTTATTCTGGTAAGGCTAGCAGTTCTCAAGCTGACACTACTCTGCTCAGATCTTGATGACTTATCTGTGTTTCCTCTCATGCCAATCTTTCTCTAATTTATATTTGGTGTTGAGGTAGAATGAGGGGAGGATAATTTCCTGCCCATGGTAAAAGACTAGATTCATCTTTTTCATGACAGATGGGTTCAGGCACACAGTGGTGGTGTCTTGCTAGAGGCACAGAATTCTTTTGTATAGAGAGCACACCTGTTTCTGACACCCACTTGGCAAAATATCACTTTCCATACCAGATGCTGTAGAGCTCATTAGTGCAAAAGTTTAAATGGGGCTTGTGTGAGTGCTTGAAGGTCCTATGATAGATGGTTGATAGTCTTGATATAGAGCTCTCCTTATAAATTTTGAGTAAAGTTAGGCTGAGAGAGACTGATTTGTTCCCTAATGCTAGAAATGAGGGGACATTAAGTCTCAGCCTGTTTCTCCCCATCTAGATTCCAATAAAGACTTCTAATGCATCTCCCATTCAGTCTGCATACAGCTGATACTATACCTCAAACCACTGAATGACATCATGGGTTCATGTAGTTGTTAAATAAGTGTCTGCGGGCTTGTCATCTTCTCTCTTACACACATCATTTGAAACCATCCACTGTGGGTGAACACTGCAAAACAGTGTTGCCAATTCTCAACCCTTGTAGCCCATCCAGAATGATACCATATTTGATAGCCCTGAAAGCTACAGCAGGACAAATAGGGTCATACTCCTTTTATCCAAGTCCACCATAGGTCATCTACAAGACTGACCAGCGTAATTTTCATCCTATGCCAGGCCTGAAGCCTATCTGAAAAGGGTCCAGATAACACACTTCTTCTAAAACCCTTTGTATTTGATATACCTGCTCAACTACCTTGCTCAAAAAGGAGAGGTTGGAGACTGGATGATAGTTGTCCTGTATGCAAGGTCAGCTGCTTAAGGAGGGGGCATATCAATGTCCTCATTATGGTTCTCAGCCAGGAGCCTAACCAGCATATAGAATATAGGACTGCAATAATCCAGATACTGTTCACTTTCTGAAACTATAGATGGAACACTTCTGCTTAATGGCATCACCTGCAGAGCCAAGCAAAGAAGCCCAGAAGCAAGGCTAGGGTACCACAGAGCTTGGCTAACAAAGGCTGCTGCCATAGCAACGGATGCTTCTTGTCTTCATAATACATCATTCAGACATGAGCTTTACTATCATCCCAGCAAGTGAAGAGTTTCCTCATGCTATACTTGGTAGTGATGTTGCCTTAAAAACAGGCAAATATTTTGCCTTTCTCAGATAACTTCTTGTAGGTTCTTGTGTTACTGTTTGGAACTCAGGTTGGTTTCTTATCCAGGACACAGGGTTCTGATGCTGCTGTATAATCAGCTGTGGGAATGGCTTGAAATTCTGCAGAGAAATTTGTGGGAATTCTCTTTCTTCCACCTAGGCCCTCATTATGTTATACAGTACCTTGCTCAGGCATACTGTCACTGGCAGCCATCTGCGATCGGAACCTGCCTGCTTGGGGAAATGTCTGTTGGGCAATATGTTGCCACAGTAACTCCTGTGATTTCATCAAAAACAGGTTTTCCCACTAGCTGTAGTTTGTATGGCTCCATACATACTAATGCTTTCCCAGTTTGTCGTTCGCAGTTCAGTGGCCTTTTTGATATTAATGTTAAAATATATCATTCATCCTAAGCGTGAAAAAGAAGTTTTAAAAGAATACAGTTTTGCATGAACTATGCATACAGTATACAAATTTGTATTTAGAAATAATTTCTGTAGTTGAAAAAGAAATACATGACATCTTTCATTTTTGTGACTAGATGATTAGGGGCCTGTTATTGGTAAAGTAGGGCATTCAAACTTATTTCTCTCTGTTGGGTATAATTGGTATACAAAGGTAGCCTTTCTCAATCTTATGCTCTCCAAATTTAGTGGCTATTAAATAATTGGGTGTGCCCATTTAAATAGTTGGGATTACCCAAAATGTAACCTAGGTACAGCTAGAACCAGTTTTAAAAGCCCTATAAAATAGTACTAGTTTTTAAAAATTAAATTCCAACACAATTTTTAAAACACATCTCATACCATAGCATGCAAAAATCAGCTTTACATGAATCTGAAAGGTTTTAAATAGTTCTGGAACACTGGTTAATTCAGAAGAAAATTCATCTGTTTTGGAGGCTACCAGCTACTCTGTTAAAGGCTCTTTAAACAATTCCTGATCAAATTTCAGTTTTGTTTTGCTTTTACTGTTCTACATCACTTATTTCTACAGTGTTTGTGGTGTCGTTAAAGTTCTCCATGAAGAAGGAAGCATGATCGCCTTCATGAACAATTCTGACAGCGAAGAGGAACCCTGCAATGAAAGGACATCATTGATGTCAGCTGAGAGCCCCCTTCTACCTCCTTATCATGATGGAGCACAGGCATCTGAAGCTGCAGAAACACTTTCCCATAGGGTAAGGGTCTTTGGAAAAGAATGTGCTGCTTTTCTTAGAATTGGGAAGTATTGTGGAGGTCATCTAGTCACCTTAGGGCTATATGCAGCCCCAGAGCCCCTCCAAAAGTTTAGCACGGAAAGAGTGGGAAATCATTAATACATATTGTATGAGATATTGATATTCATTGTATTTAATAAATGAAAATGAGTTTTTAATTACATGTAAATTAAATCACATTCAGGTTTTGTCTTGACCCTGAAAAAGGTCCCTAATCTATATCACTTCCTGCTCAGTGCAGTATCTGCAGACCATGATCCCATTACCTATTAGTGTCCTCAGCTACTCAGCCTCTACCTAAATACCTCAAGCAAAGGAGAACTCACTGACTCCCAAGGAAGTTCTAATGCTGAACAGTACTATCAGGAAACTTCTAAAATTTAGTTAGAATCAGATTTGTCTTCCATGGACCAACAGAAAACAAATCCACTCTTTTGTCTGAATAGCATCCAGTTATTGTATATAATGGTGATCCTGTCCTCTCTGTGAGTTCATCTTCTGTGAGTCCTTCTTTTGTATCTTTCAAAGGGCTAGAATGGGCAGCTTCAGATGTTCAAGTACATTAGGGCAGTTTTCCCACCCTTCCCCCATTCCAGATGTATTGGACTATGTTCCAACCAAGTAGGACTGTTAATCATCCTAGCTGAGGGTTTGGGAGTTGAAATCCAAAGCACTGAACTGGCTGTGCTAAAGTGTTTGAGCCTCAGCCACCTCCTCACACCAGGAACCCCACATTCACTTTTAAAGAAGGTCAGACAGTGCCCAAACAGTGGGTGGCTGAGAAATCAAAGAACTCCCCCCCCCATAGCCCCACATGACATGACTGCATAAATGAGGATGTGATCTCACTGGGCTAAGTATATCTGTGTTGTGTTGTATTCTCTTTAGTGACTATAGATTCTTGTTTTTACAATTCATGAGAGAAGTTAGCAGATTTTAGCAACTAATAAGGACAATCATGCAATTGTGAGAACCCATATTGTATTTTCAGACTTGATTGTGGGGATGAAGGATGGGGAAGGAAGGTAGTATTGAACTGGATTATTTTGTGCACCCTTCTGTCAGATTGTGTCAGCTGGGGCCTTGTGGTTGCTGGGCATGTTCCTTTGCCTCTGAAAATGACAACTTCTTGACCTTTGGACTCTTTTATTACTCAGTTTCCTACCATACTTTTGTCTTCTCAATTTCTAGATGTCTGAAATGGCCACTTTTGGCAAGAAGTTTTGAAGGCATTAGCAATCCAGATAGAACTCTATTGGGCAGGCAGATTTGCCCAACAGTTGCTAACCCTTACTGTTCATTGTTGTTGCAGAATAGACGTACAGGCAGCACTGGCAGCTCTAATAAAACAACGGAGGGACATGTGCCTGACCCAGAAAGAGCAGCAGTGGGACAAGTTGTGCTGGATAATGAGGAGGAAGAGTTGACCTTAAAATATGGAGCAAAGCATGTGATCATGCTGTTTGTGCCTGTAACACTGTGCATGGTTGTGGTTGTTGCAACCATTAAGTCGGTGCGTTTCTACACTGAGAAGAATGGGCAACTGTAAGTGATTCCTCACAGGCTCTAAAACAATGAATGTATTCTTTATGTTAAGTTTATTTTCTTCTGTTTAGTTACTTCCAGGGATGCTTGGATTGCAAACTCCCATAATTCCCAAGTGGAAATAGTAAATTTGTGGTAAAGTGTGAAGAGATCCAGGAGTCAGTCGTAAGAGGCTCTCAAAGCTTTTTAATACATTTTGTATTGTTGTAAATCCACATGAAACCAGAATTATATAAATACAGACAGCCTTGGATTTCATGAGTTGACAATCCCTGTACTTCAATGATATTTCCATAATCTTCTGTGCATGACTCAGCTTTTTCCAACCTGGAATCATCCAGATATTTTGATGTTCAAATCCCTTTGGCCATACTGGATGGGAATTAATGAGTGGAAATCCAGCATACTAGCTTGGGGGATGCTACTCTACCTAAAGATATGATAAACTCAAAAGCTACCTTGCTTCTGTTATAAATACCTTGTTTCTATTGTTTGTTTGTTTGAGCTAAAGATTGGTATTTTGTTAAACACATACTTTGGAGGGATTGGGTTTTGTCTTGGTGGCCACTGAGTTTCCTCTATTAAGATATTTTGCCTTTTCTTTCAGGATTTATACCCCCTTCAGTGAAGATACCCCCTTTGTGGGCCAGCGTCTCTTGAGCTCTGTGTTGAATACCATCATCATGATCAGCGTCATCCTAGTGATGACCATCTTTTTGGTTTTGCTGTATAAATATCGTTGCTATAAGGCAAGGCTTTGAATATGTTGACTAAGGGTCCCAAATTATAAATGTCTTTTAGTTAATTCTATCAGGTACTTTTCACTCCATGGTGATCAGCATTTCTTCAGTGTGAAAACAACCATAGCAACTTAGTGGTCCTTCTGGTATATCTTTGTAGTGTCATTTTAGGCAGCTAGTCTGCATTTTTTTCCAGTAGATTGGAAACTTTTAGAAGTGATATATTCACACATTTTAAAAAATGTTGACAGCAGAAAGGATATTAAAGAATTTTACAGGATTTGGCAGAACCTTAGTGTTATTGCTGCAGTATTTTAAATAATTCAAAATGTTGGTAAACAAGATTTTTCTATAGGTTTATCTTGACATTAAGATTTGTAAGGAGTTCCTTTCTATATGTTTAAGAGCTGATTTTTTTTAAGAATGACTATCGGATAAAATAAGGGGTCCTTCATTCCAAAATAGGTTGAGAAAAGTTGAAGCATGAAATTGCATTCTTAAACAGATATGCATTGCTGATAACCCATCAAATCAAAAGCATGGAATTCTTCTAAAGGGGGAGTTTTTAACACAGTATAAGTAGATTCTATAACAGCCTTCTCCAGCTTGTTGCCAGAATATGTTGAGACTATATTTTCCACCATTTCTCATCAGTACAGCCAACTGGTTGAGAGTTATGAGTATAGTAGACCAACACATCTGGAGGCACCATGTTAGAGAAGGCTAGCCTAATATTTAAGGAAATAAATACTTATAAACTACTTTTGATGATAAATTTAAAACTTAGTTTTAAAAATGTATCTCCATGATTCTTGCAGACTTCCAAATGACTATACAATCTATTTATATAATGAGATTTTAAAAAGGCAAGTAGAAGGCTAATCATTAAGAGGTTGATGTTGTGATCAGAGAATGTTGAAAAAGCAGAAGTTTTAGAAAGGGGCAGGAGGAGAGAAGGAGATGCTACCAGACATTTGGAACAGGACTGTTTGACAGGCTGCAGAGAAACTTTAAAGATGAATTAGGTGGCAAAACCAATGAATGGGAAAGCAAGTTATTTAGTCTTGTCAGAGTTGCACAGAAATACATGGTCCCTGAAAAGTAATTTTTCTCTGAAAAACTTTTGGCCTTTTTACATTGGTAAAGTAAAACCTTTTTTTCTAACTGGCTATGATTTTTTTTATCTTTCATTTGTAGTATTGAGGCCTTCTTAAGTTGTACATTTCTTTGTTTTCCTAAGGCAGCCTTTCCCCTCTCTCTCCAGGTATGCTAGCATGTGGTGGGGAAGGCTTCCTTTAGCTACGAAGCTAATTGAAGAGAGATCTATAGCAAAACCAGGCCAAAGTAGTTTGTCTTTGGGATGTGCAAAGAAGGCACGTAAATAGCATATTGTCATCTTTTGCAGTTCATTCACGGGTGGCTGATTCTCTCATCGCTGATGCTCTTGTTTCTCTTCACTTACATCTACCTTGGGTAAGTGAGAGCTGTGAATCCTAAATCACTAAGTATTCCTCTGAATCAGGATAGCTACAAGATAGTATAGGCTCTAATGAGGGATTGCTAAATGATTTGCAAGTTTTTTTTTCTTCTGATTGAACCAGTAACAGAAAAACATACATATGATCAGTGAAAAAAGATGAAACAACATGACACAAAAAGAGAATAACATGAGGAGGGAAGAGGGGAAAAAGCAAGATCAAGTACCAATGCTTAAAGAGGAATATTCATTCTAAATAACGAGGGCCTTTATATGGTCCAAAGAGGGGAATAGCCTGCTGGAGCTTTGCTTCCGTTCTCATATTTCTCATAGTCTGATAAAGCAGTTGCTGCTTAAGAACTATGCCAAGTTGTTAGATGGCATTTGTATAATTGTGTGGTGCCTAAGGTGGCTGTTGTTAGCAAAGTCTCAGGTAGAGTTTGAAATACATTTATGATAGACCAGACTAGATGGATCTTGCTTCTGTTTGGAAGTCCTTTAAAACTAGGCTGGATTAGTCAGTTATTGGGAGACGTATAAATTCCCCCTCCTAATTTAGTTGGCCCATATGTGTTTTGTGTCCTGAGGTAAAATATCAGCTTTCCCACCCACTTCCAAGGGACACGTAGTGGGGATCATGGCTCACTGGCTAAGTCTTTGCAGAAGGTCTCAGATGTGGTCATTGGCTTCTCTTTAATATCATGTAATAACTTCTTGAAAAAAATCTCTGCTGATACCAGAGAGTTGTGATTAGATTAGTGTCTGCTTGGCTAGATGGGCGCATAATCTGACATGGCATCAGGTAGCCTACTTTGATCCCATGAGCCATGGAAGTTCAGTTATACTGCACATGATATTGGACATATGTCTGCAACTTCCCTGTTGTTCTTTGTCTCTCCTGTATAGCGCAGCATCAGCTTGTGCCTTATTTCCAAGTTACCACATCATCTTTAGGTGGCAATGAATATTTTTTCATCTGGTCACTGCTCCTTGATGTCTTCCCAGAACTAACTCCCTTTTGTTTTGGTTTTTTTTGTCTGACAGTGAAGTGCTCAAGACCTACAACGTGGCTATGGATTACCCTACCCTGTTCTTTGTCATCTGGAATTTTGGAGCTGTTGGGATGATTTGCATCCACTGGAAGGGGCCCTTGAAACTCCAGCAAGCCTATCTCATTATGATCAGCGCCTTGATGGCTTTAGTTTTCATTAAGTACTTGCCAGAGTGGTCAGCTTGGGTCATCCTGGGAGGCATCTCTGTTTATGGTATGTCTACAGCAAACGTTAAGGTGATCCTCCACTGAAAACTAAATGTACTCTTTGTGAGGAGACTAAACCAAGTTAATACCACCTCCTAGAAATAATAAATCTTTGCATTTCACTTCAGAGAGACTATTTCAGATTTCAAACCTGCATTCAGAGATCTGCATTCAGATATTGCAATGAACCTTGATTTATTGTGGCCTTCTCCAGGCTGGGTTCGTGCATTGCTCTAATCTGATTGCAAGCAGGGGATCCAAACCTTCCACTCAGATAATGGCCACTAATGCTTTCCAAACCTGACAAGCCTGGTTTGTCAAAAATGGAAGTAGAAATGTTCTTACTGTTCTGTGTAGCCCCATGCTGGAACAAGGAGAGCAAATTGTGGTAATTGATTTACTATATTCATTGTTCATTATGACATTGGATTGTGACCAGGAGGCGCATGTATTGAAACAACAATCACAGCAAATGTTTAAAGGCAAAATTTTTTAAATCCAATGATTGTTCTAAAATAAATGTTAAGAGACTGTGCCCGCTTTTGAAGTACACAGATGCTTCTCAGAAATAATCCTGTGCAATCTAAGAATATTTTTCTACTTAAATGTTTCTCCAATTCTTAGTTCCATCCCAGTTGTCTCTTTTGCTATTTCAGTTATTATATTTGCTACATTTCTTCACAATACTTTTCATAGCAAGGGAGAGGTAGTAAGAGACTGAGATAAATTTGCAGTTGGATGAAAATGAAGTAAGAGATTGTTTTCCATCTCTTCAGTGGCGTCAAAAGGCTGCTTCCTTGCTTTGCCTAATGGTAGGGTTGGACTCAAACCATTTCTTAGCTCTGATATGTTTGTCAAGAAGCATTACATTCTGTGTGTCATATAAGGTTAGATGGTTTTATTTCCCTGGATTGCTTGTATTATATGGGAGTTTTACTCTCTGAATTTTTCTTTCCCTGCTTTGGTGCTCTGAAGTTGTGTTTGTCTCCTCTCTCATTTTGAAAATGCTCTCTGAGAGACTCAGAGTGTTTTCTTTGTGTATTGTAGTCTGTTTTTCCACTGCTGTTATGATTTAATAAAGCTATAGATACCTTTTGAGAGAAGAACTCCCTGCCATGTATCAGCAGGAAAATTAGATGTTCAGAAAGCTACTTGGGATTAAATTGACATTTTTCTGTCCACAGACTTGATAGCTGTTTTATGCCCAAAGGGACCTCTCCGAATGTTGGTGGAAACGGCACAAGAAAGAAATGAGCCAATATTTCCTGCACTTATTTATTCTTGTGAGTAAAATATAGGCTTCTTTTGTGTGACTGGCCTTTATAAGATTACCCCTGTTGTAGCAACTAGTGGTGCCTAATTGACTGAAAACTTTATCTCAGAATGAAAAGGAAGGAACATGAAGAATTCTCTCTTGATTTTCTCCTGTTCAAAGATGTTGTTGGATATTCTCAGATTGTGGAAGTAGGTGCAGAACTCAACAACCTGATTATCTCAGCATTTTAAGAGGAAAGTTTCTAGTCTTGCAAAGTTAGGTGTGCAAGTGTGGGCATAGTGCTTGGGTTCTAGGTACTTTTTGAGGTTATCTGACATGTTATACATATGTCTCTTTCATTTAAAAAGAGAAAAAATGCATACAGCCCTAGTCACATGTGATGCAGGATGGGAACTGTATTTTTGTGGAATTGTTACACATTTCTATAGTAAATTTTTAGATTTAGGAAGGAAGCAAGAACCACTGCTTTGGCTCCTCCTGTATGGTTCCACTAGAAATGGCAGCAGTATAATGGATTGTAGATATATTGTTACTCCCTACTGAAAATGAACTTGTGATAAGCCACATTAATTATAGCTCTTTTTAGTTTTCCTACCCCCCTAACCTGCCTGTTACAGTGAGTCTTCTGAAGAATCTTGTAAAGCCAGTGGGGAAAGATAATTATTTTATCATTAGCCATCTGAAAACGTCTTAGGAAAACAAATTGGGTTGTGGTGTAAATAAAGATATATCAGTTGCCTTGAGATGATTGTCCAATAGTTCACCAAGCATTTTTAAAAATAAATTTGTAGATGCATAGATTCTGATTCTTGAAGAAAGAGCACATTTAGCAAACTGAATTAAATTGAGTGGGGAAAAACCTTGATCTGTCTAGTCCTATATTGTCTTCATGGACTGTCAAGTATCTGTGAGTTTCAGCTGTATTTCACCCAGGACATTCTACATTTGACTTGCTGTCCCTCTGTACTATGGCTTTTCCTTGTTAGTTGTGCTTTATATTCCTTTTTTTTTTTTTTGAAATCCTGAAGCAACAAAAGGAGAATAAATAAAAATGCTAATAAAAGTTTAGGGTTCATGAACTTTTGGATGATCATCCCAATACAGCTAGAAAAAACAGTGAAGAATTAAATTATATGTCTATACTGATTGAACAGGTTTGTGTTTGGAGAAATGTTATAACTTACTGATGGATTGAACAAATAGTTTTTTGTGTACTGACAGACAAATATAAGACCAGGCACACACTCAAGCAGTAAACATATGCTAATCAAGGAACTACCAGAGGAGCAAAACAAAACCCCCATCCCCACCAGCACTGGCAAAGCATGTCACAGTATATAAATAGAGAGCAAACCCCATGTTTGTGTTTGGAGAAATGTTATAACTTACTGATGGATTGAACAAATAGTTTTTTGTGTACTGACAGACAAATATAAGACCAGGCACACACTCAAGCAGTAAACATATGCTAATCAAGGAACTACCAGAGGAGCAAAACAAAACCCCCATCCCCACCAGCACTGGCAAAGCATGTCACAGTATATAAATAGAGAGCAAACCCCATCCCATTTTAGGACTGAAGATGTTACCTAGCCGGTTAATGAAATGTTTGCAAGAAAAGAACCAAGCTCACAGAACCCCAAGGACTCTACAAAGTATCTGTAGCACTGAACACATTTGCTTAATGTGTGACAATCCAAGAATGTAGGGTTGGTTCTTTTGATTATAGTTTATAACTTTGAATAATCCATCAGTCTTGTTTCCTAAGTTGTATATTGTCTGTTCTTTCCTTCAGCTGCTATGATGTGGACAATAGGAATGGCAAAGCCAGACAATGCACAAAGAAGGACTTCTCAGGAGATAGGGGATCCAGGTGATTGATGCACTCTTCTTCAATCAAAACAACAAAAGCTCATTCTTTTGTTGTTAAATATAATTTAAATGAAATCTGCAGTGTATTATATTCACTGGTTTTCTTGCTTATTGGCAAGCTAATTATAAAGGGAAGTTTCCATGGAAATATATGGGAACTGCATTAGAAATCTCAAGATTCATTGAAAGAGTTCATTCATTTACTAACTGAGGGATGGTCGTGAATCCTTTTACAATTTATACAGAGAAAAATGAAATCCAAGATTTTGCTAAGCTCTATTTGGCAGCAGGGTTGTATGATTCAGATCCAGCATGAATCTTGAGAATTTGCGGAGTTGTAAGCAACACTAGGAGAACTACAAATTCTCCACTCCAGCTCTACAGCAACAGAGAACAGATCAGTCCATCTTTTCCATGACAACTGGGTTAAGTCAGTATTATTGCACAGTCCTGTACAACAAAAGGCGATTTCATTCTAACCAGTTTTTTTTTTAGATTTTTTTTATCCTGCTTTTAATATTTTTATAAATAAGTCAAGGTGGCGAACGTACCTAATCCTCTTTCTCCTCCTGTTTTCCCCACAACAACAACCCTGTGAGGTGAGTTGGGCTGAGAAAGAGTGACTGGCCCAAAGTCACTCAGCTGCCTTTCATGCCTAAGGCAGGACTAGAACTCACAATGTCCTGCTTTCTAGCCTGGTGCCTTAACCACTAGATCAAACTGGCACTCTTTTTTTTTTTTTTTAATATTGTATGTATTGAATTTTCTTGGGTGACTTTTATCTTCCTCTCATTGCTATGCCTCGAATTGGCTGAAGAAGCAGAGACCCATGACAGTTCTTCATATACTGAGCCTGAAGTTCCAGAAATGAGAAACTCAACTATTGATCAAACTGGCCAACAACTTGGTCAAATTGCCCGCAACTTTGAAGAAATTCAGGAAGAGGAAGAAAGTAAGCTATAGTCCCTTAAATCATAAATTCACTATTGTTAATTCCTTTAAAATAGGAGCAGGTATTTTAAGGAGTCCTTAAAATACTCCTTAAGCCACCCATCTCACTCCAGGGTCCAACAAGATGACATTGTTTGATGGGGGAATCCAAGGCAGGCCCTCCTTGCTAGACCTGGTGGGGTGGACAGAAACAATGGGGGATAGGCAGTCTCACAAATAGCCTGATCCTGTACCATGTAGATCTTTTTGGATGGTAATCAGCACCTATAAAAAATAAAAGGGGTGTTGTGTAGCCCATCCACTTCTTCTTTTATTTTTTATTAAAAGGATGTTTCTAAAAGGCAGAGAATTTGGCAGACACCAAGAAAGGTTTCTGAGAGCCCTCTGGTGCCCACAAGTGTCATGTTTGCTTACACCTAACTTAACATATCTGTTGGAAGACAGACTGATGGAATTGTTTTTATTTCTAATAGGAGGAGTCAAGCTGGGTTTAGGAGACTTTATCTTCTATAGCGTGCTTGTCGGCAAAGCAGCTGCCACTGCTAGTGGGGACTGGAATACAACATTGGCTTGTTTTGTAGCCATCCTCATAGTAAGTAAAATTAACACATTAAGCCAGTACCATCATACTTTCAGCCTCTTTCCTGTCATGCCTCCTTTTGAGTGTAAACCTGATGATAAAAATTATCTCACAATTGTGACCTCCTCTGGGATTCTTTTTTGCATGAGAAAAATGACAGAAATGATTTAAATAACTAGTGCTCTTCTAGATACTATTCTGCTTTGCCTTTGACATACTATAAAACCAGGATAGTGGGATGGATTATTTGCATTGGGTCCTAGGCATCTGAGCACCTCGGAGCTGAAGAGTGAGTTCCAGTATGGCTGGGATCAGACATAATTGGGGGGCTTATCCAAATGATAAATAGTGAGTTTTAAAACAGGATAAATTTAGGGTGAGATGAGATTCTGTTTAGCTTCTAGGACTAAGATCTGAAATATGATGATAAGATGACCATTTTTTTTCCTTTTTAACTGTTTAAACATTTATTTAAATATTTGGTACTCGACAAGATACTAAAAATACCAGAAAAAAAAAAAAAGATTAAAAACAAGCTACACGAAAGCAAGAACAAAAGAAGGCATAGTTTAGGAATATGTACTCATTTGTAATCTTAAGCAAAGTTACAAAATTTTCAACATCCATATTCTATATTTCTATTAAAAACAGTATTAAATTAAAGATTCGTAGGGACTCTTTCCTGTTGTGTGAATTTTTCAACCAATGCTGTTTCCCCCAATTTCAAATACTACTGATACAAAGATTTTCCACTGTTTTGCTATTGTAAAACTGGCACTTAACAAGTACATTTGATTTTTTGTGTTGCAATATTTATCTCCTGGAAGAAATGGGTAATAAAATTACACAATAATTAATTAATGACTATTGTGTAATTGTTTCAATTTCCTCAAATGTTCAACTAAAGTGAGTAACCAAATAGGCACTGCTACCAGAAATGACAGTATGTACTAATTTGATTGCAACTTTCCAACATATTCTAGAAAGACTTCGATTAATATAGTGCAGTTTTGAGTGTGTGAAATATCATCAATTAATTAGTCAGCTGTTGAGAACTTGGTGAAATAGGTTTAAAAGGACGTTTATACCATAAATCATTCCAAGCTTGATTCATGAATTCAAATCTCAACTTATCTTGCCAAAGTCTTTTAAGACTGTCATTATTTGATATAATGAGAATACTTTCATTTTAAATTATATGAATCTACATCATTCTTCAAATACTTTAATGTTCTTGATTGGTAAAATCCCAAGAACCTGAAAAAAATATATTGCAATTATCACATTTGAAACACAAAGTGTCCTATTTTGATCTTTTGCAAAAGAGGTTCATAATTAAATGTTTTAAATTGGCACCAATCCTTTGTACTTGCTACTCCTAAATATCTAAAATCCACCTAATTTTTGAAGGGAGCTGTGCAACTCGTAATCAGTGTGATTTGACAGTAGATGATGTATTAAAATTGATTTCTAGCCTGGCCCTTCTCATGTGTGAAATTTGTCAGCTCAAATTATGAGTTATATTTCTGTTAGAATTGTGAAAATAAATAAGCATATTATCTGCAACATATTTATTACATCATACTGTTTTTATAATGAGACCTGAATATTCTTATTCTTCCTAACATTCTGTTGTAATATTTTTATAATGATGTTTTAAAAAATAATAGAAGTAGCATCCTTGTTTAGTGCCTTTGTTTATTTGAAAAAACTCTTGATCTATTCCATTGATAGTATTTATTGCTAGTGGGCTCTTCTACGTAACTGATTACTTACTCTGACAATAAAATTATGTAAAAATCTCATTTGCAGTAACGTGTTAAGAAATTTGCCTTCCAAGATGTACAGTACAAAGACAGCAAAGCAAGTGAAATGTTTGTATGTAGCCTAGTGTTTAGTTAGTTATACCACTAACTATATGCTACCTATTCTCTGGGCTTTAGGTATCTTGCAATGGCATGATCATAAATGACAAACAAGCCCATTAAAATCGAAGAACGTATCACTATAATCTCATATGGCTGTCTACCTTGATAGGGGTCTCCTCACTAAATGCCCTGTGGAAGAATACTGTTTTTACTATTTTCCTAAGCAAATAACATGGTAGGAGCCATCCTGATCTCAGGGAGCAAGATGTTGCAGAGTGAGAGGGCTGCAACTGATAAGGCCACTCTCCAACCCCCTGTTTTCTTCATCTTCTGGGAAGGTGGACACTTCCAGCACCATCTTCTGGCTGATACATACTGGGGGAGATTGAGTAAATGGTCTCAGAGGTAACATGGACCCAATCCATAAAGGTCCTATAGCTAATAAACAGCACCTTGAATTGGGCCCAGAAGTTGACCAGCCGCCAGTGCATTTCCTGTAACAGGAGGAGGAGTTAAATCCATTTTGTTTTGTTAAACCCATTTCTACTGATCAGCAATCCAGCAGCTGCAATCTGTGCCAGCTGTAGCTTTTGGATCATCTTTATGGGGCAGCCCCATATAGGCCAACTTGCAGGAATCTAACAGAGATGGCAAGGGCATAAATTACTATCTTCAGATTAAATAATTTCTAATTCATTTGTTGCTGTATCTTTCTGGGCAAAACCCAGATTGATCTGGCAATATTAGCCTTTGAAAGCAGTGAATATTTTTTTCATCTTGATCTAACAGTGCAATGGGCCTGTATGATGATATCTCTTGGGGGTTCTTTTTTGATTTAAGAATAATCTGAAATTCAATTTGACTTTTTCCTGACTCTTATAATAATGAGGTTATTTAATAGCTACAGTGAAATCCAATTTATACAAAGATTGAAACTTAGATAGTCAGACTTGAATTTTACAACTTGTAGAAATGTATTAGTAAGTAATTAGGTTAAAGTGAGATTTTTATTGACCAAACTTATGTCTTTATAAGCGAGTTGTGCTCATATTAATTCTGTGTGCAATTTTGTCCTCAATTTTTAAAGTGCCACTGGATTTTGATATTTTTAGTATTTATCTCTAAGAAAAATATTCCAGCTAGGTATATTCCTGCTGATCATCATTCTTTTCTTTCTCTTAGGGTCTGTGCTTAACTCTTCTATTGCTTGCAGTATTTAAGAAGGCATTACCTGCTCTTCCCATCTCCATCACCTTTGGCCTGATCTTCTACTTCTCAACAGATAATCTCGTGCAACCTTTCATGGACACCCTTGCAGCTCATCAGCTGTATATCTAAGAATAATGGTGATCTGGTTTAACAGCTTTCATGGGCAGCAGGCCAATTTTCAGTGGATAAAACCTTGCGATTTTTACACTTAATGCCATATCTTTTTCAAGAAATGCTAAAAAAACAGTTTTGCTAGTTTCCCCTGGAACTTTACAGCTGATTCTTCAGACTATTGATGCTCCAGAGATCAGGATCTGTGCAGCCTGATCCTACTTGCACATATTCAGAGTTGAGTTCACTCAGATTATTTGGAACATAGGATTGTTATTTTGGTGCCATGGAGAACTGACTTTCCTCTTCATGTTTTTCATCAATACATTAATTTCTTTCTTTGTGCAGAAGGTAGATTGATTGCATTACCTTAAGGCAGTGTTTTTCAACATTCTCAACATTCCCCTCAGCATGCTGGCTGGGGAACTCTGTGAGTTGAAGTCCCCATATCTTAAAGTTGCCAATGTTGAGAAACACTGCCTTAGGTAAAATGAAGAATCCCTCTTGGGATGTTGGTATTGACAAGTTTAAGGTCCACTTTATATATTAACATGGGATCATAATGGCACAGTAATAATACAGGGTATTTTTTTTAATGTTGGAAAAGCACTTCAAGAGAAATACAATTCAAGTATAGGAACTGTTTGAAAGGGGAACAGAGTACACTGGGAGGTTTCATCTTCCTCACCCTTGAGGGAAGAAAGTGGCCTGTTCAAACCTCCAGTATAAACAGCTAACCATGGGCTACCATGGGAACTTTTGACATTCCTGGTTTCACACTGTAAAAACAGCAAGAAGCAAATTGCAAAAAGCAGAGCTGTTTTAGTGATCCTTTGCTTTTTCCAGCTAGAGGCGTGGTGCTGACATAGATTAGGTTATCTTCCAGGTATCTGAATGAAGACATATGAATCTCTGGCTGTGTTCCCATTTCATTCTAAGCCAGATTTTATGTAACTATGTTTTGATGAATAATTGGCTGGATCCATGTTATTAATTAAGCTGCAAATCATGATTACTATTCATGGGTACAATATGCTTAGCAATCTCACGCTACATGTTAGCCCTGACTTTATTTTCTTTAAACTAAAAACAAAATGAGAAGTAGAATTCTGCAAAGCACCACCCTGTAGGTTTTGATAGTGATGGGACACAATCCCGCCAGTTTGCCTTCTGCTAAATGATTGCCTGTGCCCACCATTGTAACCATTTGTGGGAGTGCCTGTGACCTGTTCTCAAACTTCCAAATGTGCGACAGCTCACAAAGGTTAATGTGGACCTTAAACTGATTTCACATAATATACTATGCCAAAATCCAAATAAATTGCATTATGAGTTAGTATGGTGTGTGAAACCTTGTCTCTCTCACTCTCCTATACCTATTCTGTAATCACAATTATTTAGCATTGCTCATGTAAGCAAACTGACCCAAGGAAGGGAGAGCTCATGGCACATTTCTAGTTCCATTAGCAAATGGCCCCATAACACAAAGTAAATGATGGCAAGCGGGTTCTCTCTCCTTCTCTTCCTAGACTGATTAGCATTAGTGTGACCAACAAGCCATTCAATAAAGAGTTGAGGAGACTTGATCAGTGGAGTAAGTTGGGACTGCTTTAGCACTTAATCATGAATCCTCTGGAGGCCCATCTTGTACTCCATCAAAGGATGACTTTTTATGGCTGTTAGTAAAACCAGATTGACTTTTGCTAGCAATCAGAACTCTGGACGTAGGGACAGTTTATCTTTCTTTGGTCATTGATCTTCAGAAAGTCCTACACACAGTAGGAGGCCTTTATGCATAAAGCAGGAGGTATAAAGGCCTAATTCACTGTATTTCTCTTCTCCAAAGCAGAGCAAAACCACATATAAATTAGGCTGAAGTACATACTGTGAGAAAAATGAATACATGGTACTTATAATAGTACATATAGAGATATGCTGTGTAATACCTTTTTAATTAAAAAAATGTGGAAAGATTTTCCCTCCAAATCAATACTTTATTTTTTTTTCCTTCCTACTGTTTTCCCCATGTGTGCAGGGTCTGCTTTTTTCGGATCAACTCAATGTTGATCCATTGGATGCAACAGGAATTGACCAACCAGCTTGTTGCCCGAGTCCAACATCAGGGGCCGAGAGAGAATGACTAGCCCAAAGTCACCCAGGCGGCTTTCATGCCTAAGGCAGGACTAGAACTCACAGTCTCCTGGTTTCTAGCCTGGAGCCTTAACCACTGACCAAACTGGCTGTTTATATACTTTATTATATACTTTATACTTTATTACCAACAGAAAAAAAATCAAGGGAGAAATGAAAGAGAAATGCAAGATCTCAAAATTGAGTTCTTGCTGAGCATAGCATTGGCTCCAAAAGTAAGTAAATGCTTCCATTTCCATTCTGACTCCTTCCATTTCTGACTTTCCTATCAAATCTGTTAATATTCTGTTGCATCAGAACTATTGATCTGCCACACCTTATTAACCCAGCTTGGCACTGGAGGTTTTTATTCCATTTGTTTTCTGTGCAGTCCCATCCAAAATAGAGCCAGAGGAGCTTCAGTGATATTGAAAGTTATAAAAGGAGATTTGATATATTAAAATAGATTGTAGTTCACTTTCAATGGTTTCTTATATTAAGTAGATACATATGTTACATAGATACTAGGTTAAACAGACCTTTGGTCTGATGTGGTGAACTGTCAGTGAGGATCAGTATATTGCTGGCATTAATTTATTGTATGCATCTTTTTTATCCCTTGCAATTCATGTTGCTGCATTTCTATCCCACAGATTCCTTTGTGACAAGTCAGTGCATTTACAAGGCCCTTATTTTAGGGGAAGACAAGCATTTTGCCAACCTATATCAGAGTATCTCTTATCTTAGTATTATGCTGGCCAAACTTGAGCCTTAAAAGAAAATTCTTGACCAGATAGATTTGGGCTCCTTGCTTCCGGAGGATGTGGATATTTTATTTTTTTAGATAAAATAGCTACATAATAGGTTACTCTGTTCAATCTGAAAAAAATAACTTTAGAGTTTAGAATTTCACTTTCCACTTTAGATCTCAGTAAAGAAACTTAGCTTTGGCTTTCCAATGAACTTTGTTGGGAAGAGAAAGTACAGTTTAGAAGTATCTTTAGGAATACTATGTAAATGTTTAATTTAAAAGTAAGTTATTTGGAACTATCAGAATTGAAAGGGTGCATGTAGAATTTATTATAAAGATTAGTCTAAATAAGGAGTAGTTAATTCAAGCTTCCTTGTAGGGATATCTATCATTGTAGGATTTGCTTTTTTATTGGAAACCTCATTTGTTTTGCTTTCAGATGTTCCTTTTCATGAAAAAAGCTGCTTCTTGGTGTAAGTGTGAAGGAATAATGAATTGACCATGAATATATTTTCCTGAATATTTTATAGGCAATGAACTATATTTGGGACCAGTCCAAGATGGAAAATCCCAGTAGCATACCCTACTCTTACATGCCTCTATTTATTTCACATGCTCAGAAGAATTCCATTGCCAGTGGTGATATTAACTGGGGCTAATGAGAACTGTATCCAAACACAACTGGAAGGCACCAGTAAAGGCTATCCTAGTGAAATGTGCCCCTTGAATCATATCCGATTTGCCATGCATCTGGCCTGATATTCTACAGAGGTTGGCATATACCATATTTAACTCTATAATCTTATAGCAGCTTAACCAGAATTCTTTGGTACAGAAGAATTCATATCTAGCTAAATACTCCATGTCCAGGGCTAGCATGGAGAATTTAGAGCCTCAAGATGTTGAAACAATTCCAGCAGCCTCAACCAACATGAGTAAGGGTGAAAGATACTCCTATTTGAGGCAATATTTAGCTATACAAGGAGTGTTTCAAGTCTAGTTGAGGATGTGCAACATGTGCAGCAGGTCACATGCTGTTTGTTTAAGCTGCCCATGCTGTCTCTGGTAACAAACCAATCAAATGAACGTTGCACTTAAAATCCCTGCAAGTTCTCATTGCCCATGCAAGGAGAATTAAGGTATGTCATCTTTTTGCTGGGAGGAATGAGCAGTATGTGGAAGTGTTTGAAGGTGGAGGCGTATCTAAGCATGTATATTTTTATTCCCTGCAAGTGCAGCCTAGATGGCATGGCTTAGCCCTAGGGTCCTCACAGGTTGCCCATCCATGATCTGGGTCTTTTCTCTTCATGTTCCTTCTTCATCGATTGTAAGCTGCACCAGTCTAATATATATACAGTATTAGCTACTTCTCAATAACAGACCTGAGAGCTCTCTCCGAGTCTTTGCTGGCTTAGAGAAAATGTGACCAAAAATACAGTTTATATCAAATATAATATGCACACACAGATGAAGATATTTACTTCATGCTCACTTCCTGGGACAGTTACTCATTAAGCAATGCTTTTTAAAACTTTTAACAGGATTTTTCTTAACCATTTTGAAATCCTTATTGAAATGAATATGAAATCCGTGGCTTATCTGTTCCCTTTAGAATGGCTTTAGTATAGGGCAGGATTTGAATTCATCCAGTGCAGCCATTTGCCTAAAAGTGTGAGCTTGGTCAATGCCTGGGTGAGAAATAACTAGGGAAGTCCATATATATGTTCCACAATGGAAGGAAAATAGGATGCACTTAATAATGTTTTATAATATATGCAATTTTGCATAAATTAATAGGTAAAGTCTGAATAACAGGAAACAACCAAAAATCTGTTTGAACGCATTTCTAACTTGCTGGCTTTCAGGATGGACATGGTATGTGTGCAGTGGTGCAGCAAATATATATGTACAGGAAATTATTCTTAAGCTGTACTTATTGCAAATGTAATTAATACAATAAAGTGATGATATAACTACTAAGCATAAGTATAAGGTTTTATACTGGAGTTAGTCTGGTGGGTACAGCTAACAGGTATGTAGATTGGATTTATTTAAGGTGGTTTAGTTCGTTCTAGTTCACCACTCTACCAGGAAGGTGATGAAGCAGGAAAAAAACCTCAAGTTTCCCAATTCAACTCCAATTCATTTTCATTATTTACATGGGATACATGTCTTTTAGTAACTAGAAAGAGAAGTAGCAAGTTTTCTTTAAATATCTAATTTGATATAGAAAAATGTGGTAGATAACTTTAAATGATTATGAAAACTTTCTTTTTTCATTAACTTGAAGAAATAAGTCAAAGTTCCAAAACCATTCCACTTTTCCTAGATGCCACATTTTCTTCTGCATTGGATTTTATAGGTTAATTCCACATCTAAAGTTCAGGAAACTAAACAGCATTATTCATATAATGTGCCAATTTTTAAAAAAGCAATGGAAGCTAAGTCAGTTTCTCTAACTTAATGATTAATTTATGTTAATTCCCAAAATTGAATATTGACTAAAAGAAAACTGCACTAAATTAGCCATTCTCCAGCCATGCAAAATGTTTCACATTATAGATATCTCCACTTTGAGGCAGATACGTCCTCCTGTGTCCTCCTATATTTCTAGAAATGCCTTTTGTTAGAAAAATCAATATTGTGAAATTTGTTGCATTTTGTCATGTACTGAAGGCAGATGGCTAGAGACTGGCTAATTTAGTGCAGTTTCTCCCCTCTTTATTCTTCCTTGCTCTTCAAAATGTTCCATCCGCCACTAGAGAGCAGTGTAGCCACCATGTAACTTCCTTTTCTTTTAAGAAGATTCAAACTCAATCTTCAGAGCCTTGTGGTTGTGTGATATCTCTAAAACCTTTACTTTTTAGGTAAGTTGCTATTGTCTTCATACTGGCAGCAAAATAAAGCAAAGGAGTGATGGAAATTAACAGTTCAAACAGAATAATGGGGGAGGGGAGCACTAATATTCTTTTCAGGGAGCATTTTTAAGATAAACTGCTGAAAAAACATCCCAGCCCTGAGCATATGCGAACAAATGAAGTAGAACAGAGGCAGCATTGTAAGAGGGAAGAACAAAAAATAACAGTTCCTCTTATCAAGTAAAAAGTGCAAGTTTTCACCATTGATCGAGCACTGCCTAGACAACAAGCAGACTGGCCTTCCCAACATGGTGCCTTCTAGATATGTTGGACTGTAACCCCATTATCTCCCAGCCAGATGGGGAGGATTGTATTAATCCTGTGAAAAATAATAATGCCTTTCCCAAACACAAAGTAGTTTTAATATAGGCAGTTTCAACATATGATCCACTCTTAATCAGTGAAACATTTCAGGCATAAGAGGAGGGTGTGAAAAGAGTACAATGTACTCCTGCAATAGAAAGTCTGTAGTTCCTTTTATAGAGTGTCCATAGTATTTTGTTTATGACATTTCTATTCCATGTTCAGTATCTAATTC